ACAAAAAAAAAAAAAAAAAAAAAAGGAAGTCCGATGGATACTTCTAGACCGAAATTGCCGTTTCAAAGTCGGCGGGTGATTTGTTTGTAGGCGCATGTATTTTTTCTGGCCTTCACGAACACGAAACCTGCCGTGGCCGCCGCTGTTTAAAAAATAGAATGGGTACGTTTGAGGATGAAGAGGGGCATCTATCGCAAACAAAAGGTCAGTTTCCTTAGAATTGCCGAAGATATTCCATTGTCCAAAATACTGCTGTCTTATTTTTGTCGTATATAGGAGGTACCGTATGTCCTACTCTGGCATAAACTCAGATAACTTCACACACATTCTATCGTTCATTTGTGTATGCTGATCGACTCATAGCCCTTTCAATTGAGCTTCTGTACCCATCGTACTTTCTTTTTTAACATCTCTTTGAATTCAACGGGGTTGTCGTCCTGAATGCAGTTGGTGACATTACAACAAATCCCATGGAGTCGTGCGTTTGTGTCCTAATTGCAGTTGGTAATGTGAGAGACCAGTTTGAATTTCAGGGTGTATCTCCGCATCCCCCGCCGGTGAACAGTGACCGGATCGGGATCGTTCAAAACTGGGCGGATGGGCGATCCTATGCCCCTCACCCTGGGAACAGCCGTTCATGGTAGCACGTTCAAATGACAAGGCCATTTCGGCCCCTTCCCAGCCGTTCAAGGTCATTTCGCCCCCTTCCCAAAAGCCCCGGGGTTGGAACCATCACAAAAGGGGGAGGGGAGGGGGGGGGGGACGTACCCTCCCTACCCCCTAATAAATTAGCTGAATCAAATCGTAGCTTTTCTCATTATCGTTGGTGATTAAAAAAAAAAATAAAAAAAATCGGCGTGGACTCATGTGGGGGGGGGGAGGGTTTTTGCTTACTTTTGTCAAGTTTTGTGGGTGGGGGTGGGGGTATTGTTCAACGGGTAGAAAGAAAACTCAATATCAATCAGCCAATGAATCCATTGATTGACAATCAATGAATAAATCTTTCAGTCCATCACTCAATCAACAATCGGTTAATCAATCAATCAATAGCGCACACACACACACAGACACACACACACGGGTGGATGGATACACCACGCACACATGCATACATGTACAGTCCTGCTTTTGTTTCTGTGGAGTTGTTTATAGCGGACATGACAACACAGACACACGCAGCGCTCTCTCTCGGACATGACAACACAGACACACGCAGCGCTCTCTCTCTCTCTCTCTCTCTCTCTCTCTCTCTCTCTCTC